AATTCCAACTTGCTATCGCCAGAGGAAGAAAACTTCACTACAAAGGTGCAGTGTGTGTCGTCCATCATGGAATTAGCTCTAAATTGCTCTACAGAATCACCTCAAGAAAGGATCAACATGGGTGATGTTCTAGTTGCACTCAAAAAGATCAGAATTCGATTCCTAACTAATCATGTGCGGAGTTCTCGCAGATTGTGAATAGAGAGGAAGCATGAAAGTATCCATCTTACATTATTTCTTGTTTAATTATGATTTTAGAATTACCAATGGCATCTTTGGCTAACTTTATGACAAAAAATCCAAAACCTATGGACCTTTAGTAATGTAGAGAATCAAAGGTGTAAGCTCACCATTGTTGTTTCCTTGCGTCTGCTATTGGTGGCAAATGTCTTGTTTAACGTCGTCAATATCCTTGACCTAAATCAAAGATGACAGAAATTAAATAAATTAATAAATAAAAAACATAGTCATGGTGCAGAATCACTTGATGAAACGATCAACATGAATGATGTCCTAGCTACTCTGAAGAAGATCAAAAAATTTCAAGGGTCTAAGGAAGCAATAAATTTGTAAAATTTTGATTTTCCATTTGAGCTTATACAGTTCTTTAAACATTTCTGTTTTGATAATTAAAATGAATTTCTCATTTGATATTCATATGAAAGCATTATTCTACTTAATATTAGATCATTCTATTCTAGTTCAACGTATATGATTTGAAGTGTTAGGTTTGAAAGAGAAATATGTGTATAGGTATGCATGAACGGGTGCAGTTTTGTGTGATAAAAATTGTCTAAATTGAATATGCAAGAAGGAAGATTTTGAAATTAAGTAAACCCTTGCTCATTATAAACTATGTGACTCCTGATTCCTCACCTATAAATCTCAAGCCAAAGTATAGTTCATCAGAAAAAGTAGCCTCTAATTTGTGCTATTTTTTAATGTTGCAGTGTTATTTCTGTTGTGAAAATAATGGAATATATATATATATATATATATGCGCGGAAACAATCAAGAAGAAAAACAATCACACAAGAACGGTCCGGCACAATTGTTTTGGAAACAAAGTAAGCTTGGAATACCAAAGGGCCTTTGGCCCAATGGTATAACCTCCTCATCTTAGAAGAAGAGGGGAGGGGTTCGAGCCTCGGCGTGGGCAAAAAAAGTGTATGTATGTGTGTTTGCTTTACCATCCAAAAAAAAAAAAAATTCCCAAGTTGTTGGAGAAACTCTTGGATCTTAAATTTTTCAATGCGTCTTTCAATAGACTAAGAGGAGAAATTCCAACCGGTGGACCTTTTGTAAATTTCAAAAGTCAATATTTTTTGTCCAATGAAGCATTGTGTGGTTGTCCATGTTTCCAAGTCCAGCCATGTGGTAATAATTCTCTTCATAAATCAAAGGTACACTAATTCTTGCCTCAACAATTCTATTTATGTGCCTAAGAATCCGAAGGAAGAGAAATAAAATTCCAATTCAATGAATTCATAGCCACAGTTACACATGAAAGAATTACATACCATGAACTTGTCCGAGCAACAGAAAGGTTTAGCGAAAACAATTTACTTGGAATAGAGAGTTTTGGTTCAGTTTACAACGGTACACTAACAGATGGAACTGTTTACGCTGCAAAGGTATTCAATTTGCAACAAGAAACTACTTTCAAGAGTTTTGACACATAATGTGAAATATTATGCAACATTCGTCACCGGAATCTCACCAAAGTAATTAGCAGCTGTTCTAACCTTGATTTCAGGGCCTTGATACTCTAGTACATGCCTAATGGGAGTCTTGAAAAGTAGTTGTATTCACACAATTACTTGTTGGATATCATGCAAAGATTAGACATAATGATAGATGTGGCTTGTGCATTGGACAATCTCCACCATGATTGCTCAACATGCATAGTTCACTGTGACCTCAAACCCAGCAATGTCCTACTAGATGAAGATATGGTTGCACACGTGAGTGATTTTGGTATCGAAAAGTTCCTAGAAGTAGGGGATAGCATTGCAGTAACCAGGACTCTACCCACATTTGAGTATATTGCACCAGGTGAGGCTTTTAGCGTTCAACTTTTGTTCAAATGTTAGTTCTAGTATTTTTTATTATTATTATTTATCATAACACGATTTCAATTTAGTTTCTTAAAATTTCACTTTCATCACATGTTAATTTGTTTAACTAATTATTATGCTGGATGTAGAGTACGGATCAAAAGGATTAGTATCAACAAGGTATGATGTTTACCGTTATGGTATTATGTTGATGGAAACATGTACAAGAAGAAAACCCACAGATGATTTATTTGTTGGAGATTTGAGCCTCAGGGGTTGGGTAAATCAGTCACTGCCCGATGCAATAATTCATGTTGTAGATTCCAACTTGATAAGGCCAGAGGAACAGCATTACACTGCAAAGGTGCAGTGTGTATCATCCATCATGGAGTTGGCTTTGAAATGCTCTGCAGAATTACCCCGGGAGAGGACCAACATGAAAGATGCTGTATTTGCACTCAAGAAGATCAAACTTCAATTAATCAAAAGTTGTAAGTTGATTCATGAAATTATCAATCTATGCTAATTCTGTTTTTTCTTTTCCAAGTTACAAAGAGCATCCTTGGTTTTAATTTCAACAAGATATTCCAATCCAAGTGGACCTTCAGTAATTTCGAATATTGAATTCCATGAAGGTGAGCAGATTGAGACAGTAATTAGACACACTCAATGAGCACGTAAAGATTTCGTGTGACAATTGATGGTGCTATCTTTAGAAGGTGCAATTAATTGCCAATGTCTAGATCTTTTACTTTCGCGAATCCTAAGTAAGGGGGGAAGTATTGTTCATCGTTTTACATGCTACTTCATGCTATTAAACCTTTTTGTCAAAGTAGAAATTGGGAACGTCATGAACACCAATTTCTGGTTTGACAATTGGTGCTTTTTGGGTCCCCTACATTGCCTCTCTTCAACTGAGCAAATTCTGAACTCCCATCTTGATTTAAACACAAAAGTGAGCTTCTACATTTCTGGATCTTCATGGAATTTCCCACCCTCAATGACTTCCCTCATTCCCCAACTGATTAACCCAAACTTCCGGCCTTTACATTTCTGGATCTGCATGGAAAACGATGTGCTCAAGCAGATCATCACCGTCGTCCGTGAGAAACTCATATGCTGATTCTGTCAAAGCAAGAAGAATTGTTGGGAACTTCAAGCTTCAAGCCACTTGTACCACCACGAAAAATGGTTAAAATAGTTCACATTTAATTTCTTAAATCCATTTTCATTTTGAATTCCATCCTTTCCAGACAATTTTGTTTTTCTTTTATAAAGCATTCAAATTTTTTCAAATCCTTTCATCGTAAACAAAATTGAAATCCCAACACCGCATCAATGCTAAAAAATAATGTACTAGACAATGTTATTTTGCAAATGCACAATTTTCTTTTCTTTTTAGAAAATTCAGATAATTGTACAATCAGGAAAAATAATAATGTACAGAATAGAAAAAGAAAAATGGACTGGCCCGCAAAACAGTCCTGGAGAGCCCAGTCAGCAACCCAACGGGCCGTATGGTATTAGTGTGGAGAGATAGAGAGAGAGAGGGCCTACCCAACCCATTGAAAAAAAAAGAAAAAGAAAGAGGTTGCCCCAAACAACTTGACCAACCCGAAAAAATTTGGGTTGGATTTCATGGGTTGAAACCCGAATTCGAGTTACCTCGGGCCAACCCAACCTGAAGCCGGGTTGAGGTTGGACTGGGTTGGGCCAGCCCAAGTTGCATCCCTTGCAACGACTATTACATAAAATAAGACAAGATCCACAATACGGCCCAAACAAAAGCCAACCAAAGAGCAAGCATCCTAACCGCACCTTCATATAACGTGCTTCGATTTGATAGACCCAACCTACAGTTGGGAAATTTATTTTTTAGGTAATTTTTAATTTTAATATTTTTTTTAATAAATATTTTACAATAAATAAACACTAAAATAACATAAAAGAAAAATTCTGAAACATATTTTACATCCGCACAAACCTAAGTGCTTCAAAGTTCAGGACATCTTAAGGAAAAAATAGTGTTAGATGAAGTTAAATGGAAAATAAGATAGTAGTACAAGTCAAGAAGGTGTTTGCCGACGGACTGTCTATTCAAATTGGAAAACGTGATTCATAAAGATTGAAATGGAATGAATGGTCATGACTTTGTGTAAGGAGAAGAGACTTTACTTACTCCACATGATTTTAGTGGATGTCATGGTCTTGTCTCACAAAGTGCTCAACGTCTTTTAAAATTTTAAAGACACGGGTCAAGGTCTCCTCAATTAATCGAAGCCAAAATGGACAAATGTAGAAAAATGTATAACAACAACCGGGTGTGGCGTGATTACAAGTGTGAAATGTAGAAAAATGTATAATAACAACTGGTGTGGCATGATTACAAGTGTGAGTGATTGTGTCATTGGGTAAAGAATTTGACAATATTATATATATATTTTTTGTTTTGAAGGGTAAATATTAGGGAGTTGTGTCGAATTTCGAACCCATACTCTCCAAGAATCAATAAAATGCATCTTACCGAGCCAAAAGACTTGGGCGTTATTTTCATTTTTATCAAAGGAAATTGGTAGCCTTTATTAGCTAGAAGTACTACATCGTAGGTGGGACACTAAATTTTTTTCTGAAAATGGAGATGAACCGAATCTTGCAATTTAATTAAATTAACCCTAAATAATAATTAATTTCTTATCTTCTAGCAAGTAAACAAAGTATAAGCGAAAACTAATGATATATGAATGGATAGTAAATTTTGTTATCATCTCAAAAATGGAAACTGAATTAAGCAGCTACATCAATCTATATTGTGCTTTTTTCGGTTGCTGTACTGCTGTATGTGGTGTTATTAAATAATTAATTTATTATCTTCTAGCAAGTAAATAACGTATAAGCAAAAAAGTAATGATGGATGAAAGTTTATGGGATGTTTTTAATTGGAATTTCTTTAATATTGGGCTTGACTTGAGCTTGACTCAAATCTGAACATTTCTTTGATTTGACAAAACTGAACATGATTTCATTATTTATAAGTCTAGCATGCACTGTTTCTTACATTGAGTTCTCATAATTAAATTGATACCCCCCATGGAGAAAACTCGCTTCCTCTTTTCTATTGCAGTGTTAGTGGTGCACTATCATATGACTTGCACAGCTAAGACTCTGATCAACATCACCACTGATCAATCTGCTCTTTTTGCCTTGAAAGCCAACATAAAATCCGACCCTCATGACATCTTGGCTAAGAACTGGTCGGCAGCAACCTCGGTTTGTGATTGGGCCGGAGTCAAATGTGGTGCTCGCCACCAGAGAGTCAGAGCCTTGAATATTTCGAACATGGCTCTTCAAGGCACCATCCCTCCCCACCTGGGTAACCTTTCATTTTTGGTGTCACTTGACATAAGTGGCAATCGTTTCAGTGGTCATCTACCAAAAGAGTTAGTAAATTTGAGACGATTGAAACTCATGAATTTGAAGTCCAACAACTTCAATGGAGGGCTTCCGTCATGGTTGATTGCATTATCCCAGCTTGAGCACTTGCTTCTTGCTAACAACGGTTTTACAGGTACCATCTTTCCCAATCTTTGCCCCTATACATAGATAGATATTTAGATAGAGCTTACGTTTGTTTTAATAAGGAGACATGTTATGAATATTTTATTATAATAAATTCAATTTATTTAAATACTATATATGTTGAAAGAGCTAAAACAACTTAGTCTATATAAGAGAGGCGTTCTTAGCTGACACGTGACTATTATATCTCCTCCATATCTCTGTTGTGTTTGATGAATAAAACCTTTCTCAAAAAAATCACTTTGTTGGTACTATACTTTTCATTATATATAATATTTATATATAAGGTAAAGTAGGGGTGGCTACTAATCGGATCGGATTAGTAGTCAATTTTAATTCTATATGTACTTAACGAATTGGGTAAATCTTAATCCGTCATCGATTCGTTATCCTATCAATCGAATTTGTGTAATAACGGATCGGATCAGATTAAATCCACGAATTGAATTTTATCTAAATTATCCGTTATTATTATTTTTATTTTTATTAATATTATTTATTTGTCTTTTAACCATAAAATTTTAATTTATTTATATTAATTCATATATTTAAATAATTATTAACTAATACATCACTATAATTCATTAAATTATCATTAACTAATATATTATTCGAATATATATATATATATATATATATATATATATATATTTCACAAATTGGATCGGACTTATGGATCAGATCAGATTTTTAATAGCCCAATTCATGATCCAATCCGTGAATGTAACAATCCGATTTGATTACGCACGAATCTGACTGGGTCAACTCGAATTTACGGATTATTTGTCAACTCCTAAAAGTGCAAAGGAACTATTGCTTTTGTATATAATATGCAATTATTTCATACTATATTAATAAAACCCCCTATATTTTTAATTTATACAAATAAGGAAAAAGGCAAGTGGGGGCGACGAAGGCAAAGGTAAGCTTGTCGATGTCTTGGCCAAACATTTAGACATCGTCGCACGCTGTCAGGTGTGCGTGTCTTCTTCAATTTCATCGGTTACTAAGGTTTATGCATATATATTTGATAAATCTTACTGTTTTTATATATGGACATACAAATACAGCTCAACTTGCATTAATGCTGTAGGGAAGGGTCTTTCTCATGGTCTTGTAAAGTGGGTATTTTGATTGAAATTAATTCTTTTTGAATCTGATTTGCAGAGGATATGGATTGCGTTTACCATTATTGTTCCATTTGTTTGCTAAGATAAAGGAATTAGGGAAGATAATTAAAATTGAAATTATTAGGGGTGCACATGAATCTGTTAAACCATCAGCCAATCCAAGCTGTACGGTTTGGTTTGGTTTGGTTTTGTGAAACAGTGTTTGCGTTGTTGGCTCCAGTGATGGACGGCTGGAAATGGATTTCCCGTAATTTGAGAGAGAGAAGAGAGGGGGGGAGGAGAGAGACTTTACCTTGCTTACATCAGATGTGAGGGCATTTTGGGGTTAAAAATTTTGGTCAAAATTGATCATCGTGGTGCATTTTGCTCCAATTGTTGACAGCTGAGGGATTTATATGCACAAAATAAAAAGTATGGGTGGTAATTATACATTTTATATATATTGAGTGTTTTTTATTTTTGCATTTTACTCTTGTATAAATTACTTTTTGTGTTTATGGGCAACCAGTAGCAAATTGGTTACTTAGTCTTTCTTGGAATGTGCACGAGGGAACACCATCTGCGAACTCTTTGATTGTATAATGGAACCGGTATGAAGTATCGACTTTAGGACAATGCCTATCATGCCTCTTAACCTCACAAACCATTTTTTCTTTCTCAATTATAAATATTTTATTTATGAGTTCTTTATTTTACGTATTGAAATTATGCTAGTGTTCTTTCCATGATATAATTAAATTGTAAGTCATGTTAATTGTAAATTTTAAGTTCATGCTTCTATATGCTAAATGTCATGTATATATTTATTCATTTTACGATAATATGTACATGTTATCTTCTTGTTATTTGTTTTTTATATTCATGTTCATGTTGTACATATAGTCTCTAGATGACATTTTATTAAATGATAAATTCTCTTTTCTATTGTGTTTTATAATTTATAATAAAATATAAAATTCCCTACCAGAAGACGTTTGTTTTGAGCTATTTGAGCCTTTTTTTTTTAAAAAAAAAAAAAATTTAATATAAATCATTTAACCATACCTGCGGAATAAAGAAATATTTTATAGATGGGAAATAATTAATTATATTCTTACAGGCTCCATTCCATCAACAATCTTCAACATCTCCTCACTGCAAAATATTGATTTCTCAATGAATAGCCTATCTGGGAATCTTCCAATGGATATGTGCAACCATCTTCCAAAACTTGAACGCCTTAATCTTTCATTTAGTGAGTTGAATGGCCAAATTCCATCAACTATGCATAAATGCTCAGGGCTTCAATTTTTGTCGCTGGAAATGAGTAGGTTCACTGGCCCCATTCCCCCGGAGATTTGCAACTTAACTATGCTTAAGGAGTTGTTTCTTGGTGTTAACTACTTGAAAGGTATGATACTGTTTTTTTTTTGTTTCAATTAGTGGTGTGTCTGTGTGATTGTTTGGAAGGATCGGTTCTTATAGACTAGGTCTTGTTTAAGAGGCCTTTTTTTTTTTCTTCTTCCTGAATTGTTTAGGAGAGCTTTCTGGTATCTAAAGTCATGTTTGAGAATATGGAGTTATTCTAATAAAAGAAATGTAAAATTCAAAACATATTTGGTGAGAAAATTTTTTTTTAAAGTCATTCAAGAATTGAAAATAATTTCTAATTCAGAATATTAATCGTTATATAACGGCTGGTTTTAAAAGGTCATCGATTTTAGGGGTACTGTTCATAGCTACAGTACCGTTGCTACAGTGCAGAAACATGTTAAAAAAAACCTAATTGGTGTTTCGAGTTTCTTTCCTAAAAAAATGCTACAGTACCCAGCCAAAAACAAAAACACGGACAACTGTATAGGCTGATGTGTTCTTATATCTCAATACGGACCCATGCGTTATTTGCCACTTAAACAGCCAGGTAGGTTCAATGAAATAAGCGAGTTTGTTACTTCGGTTTAAATAGCACCACCGTATTTATTACAGTAATACTTATTATAGATTTGAAATAATAACATCCAAAGAAAAATGCCAAATTTTCGGCTAGGAGTTATAACCAAAAATGTAATTATACATTTATATTTCAAACTCATACACCCGCATTTGCCTCTAATAGAACTTGAGCAGAAGTCGGAACATCCAATTTAAAAAGGTAGAGGAGATACCATTAGATCATTAAGTTACAAAACTTACTGGTAATATAGTAATGTTTATATTTTCATTTTTCTTAAGTCGAAATTATTTGTTATTTTCAATAAAATAAACTATACTTGTACCGTGTACGTAACTACGTATCCAAATAGTTTATTTCTAATATCATACTAATGAAATTTTCATTGTAGGTGAAATTCCGCGGGAGATAGGTAACCTTCATAGTCTTGAAAAGTTAAATATGGTGCAAAACCACTTCACTGGCCTCATACCTTCTTCTTTCTCTAATATCACTTCATTGAAACAGCTTAATCTTGGCAACAATAGCTTGACAGGTACAATCTCATCCTCTTTTATTTTGGCTGATGTTACAAAGTTGCACTAAACATTGTCCTTTTCCTTTTTCTTTTTTTTTTTTTTTTCTTTTCTTTTGTTTTATTTTCTTCCTTTTCTTTTTCTCATGGATGGTAAATCATGATTCTCCTTGTGTTCTTGAGTATGTAGCGTATGAATTCTTAACTAAGGTGTTGAATGATGAAATTGAAACTTACACTCTGAAAATTCAAGAAAAATTAGTATTGAAGTTATAAAGTAAAAACCTATAGGCTATTTTTTCAGTTTGAGTGCTAAATTTATTAAAAATATTAGATCTGCAAGTTGTTTAATTCACAGTTATACCTTCAAAATTGTATAATTATACTATGCAAATATAAAAAGAACACGTATACCTTAATAAAAGCCACTCAAAAAGTTTGCTAATTTGACAAAGGAATAAAATGTCGTGATTGACTAATCACAAATATTGACTATAACAAAAGAATTAGTTGTAGAAAGTGGTTTATCCATAGGTAATACTCTATTCTCCTTTTGTTGTTGTACGGCCTTAAGTTGTAAGTTGCGAAAACCACTTCTCTCATTTTTCTAACTTCAATATTTTGTCTTTATTATTTACATTTTGGCAGGTGGAATACCAAAAGAGATTGGTGACCTTAAGTTAGAGCAATTATTATTACATTTCAATTACTTAACAGGCCCCATTCCAGCAGCAATCTTCAACATCTCAACACTACGAACTCAGTTCTCACTTTTGAATAATCATCTTTCTGGCAATCTTCCATCAAATATAGGCCATTCACTACCCAACCTTCAACGACTTATTCTTCAGGAAAATAACCTCACCGGAGTTATTCCTCATTCTATTTCAAATGCTTCCAATCTCATTACTTTAGCCCTTTCCGAAAACATGTTCACTGGTTCAATTCCTCACTCTCTTGGTAAATTAGGCCGCCTAAAAAACCTGTACCTGTCAGAAAACAATCTCGGCAGTGACTCTTCATCTCCAGAGTTGAGCTTCCTCACTTCTTTGACAAACTGCAGGCATTTAAAAAATTTGTGGTTAGGTAAAAATCCTTTAAATGGCAAATTTCCAATTTCCATTGGGAATTTCTCCACTTCTCTTCAGTATTTTGAGGCAACCAGTAGTGGAATTAAGGGCAATATTCCGACAGGGATTGGTAATTTAAGCAACTTGGTATTCTTGTACCTATACGAGAATGAATTGACTGGGCTTATACCAACAACGATCAAAGAGTTAGGGAAGCTCCAACGGTTGTATCTTGATGACAACAGAATACAGGGATCCATTCCATTGGACCTCTGCCATTTACTGAACCTGGGTGAATTGGGTTTGAGTGGAAATGGGTTGTTTGGTCCAGTGCCGGCATGCTTAGGGAATGTTACTTCGCTAATCTATCTGTTTCTAGATTCCAACAGATTAACTTCCACCATACCTGCAACCCTTTGGAACCTCAAAAATCTTTTGATCTTAAGCTCGTCCTCTAATTTTTTAAGTGGATATCTACCCTCGGAGATTGGAAGTTTAAAGGTCGCTACCCAAATTGATCTATCAATGAATCAATTCACAGGTAACATCCCTAGCACAATTGGCGGCTTGCAAGATTTAACCTATTTTTCTTTGGCAAATAATAGGCTACAAGGACCTATTCCTGACATATTTCGAAGCATGGTAGGCTTGGAATCCTTGGATCTATCTCATAACAACCTTTCAGGTGTGATTCCCCGGTCGTTAGAGACACTCAGATATCTTAAATATTTTAATGTATCTTTCAATAGACTAAGAGGAGAAATTCCCACTAGAGGACCATTTGCAAACTTCACAAATCAATCCTTTATGTTGAATGAAGCTCTGTGTGGTGCCCCTTAGTTCCAAGTGTTGCCATGTGATACTAGTCCTCTTCACAGATCAAGGATAAAAAGAGTGCGTCTCGCCGTGTATATCATGTTGCCAATTGCATTGATACTTCTTGTGTTGACAGTTGCGTTTGTATATTTGAGATTTCGGAAGAAAAACAAAACTCCAATTCAAACTGTTCCAATACTTGCAACTGAAAAAGAAAGAATTACATACCATGAACTTCTACAAGCAACTGATGAGTTTAGAGAAAGCAACTTGCTTGGTATCGGAAGTTTCGGTTCAGTTTATAAAGGTACACTAATTGATGGAACTATTTTGGCCGTAAAGGTATTCAATCTACAGCTACAAGGTGCTTTTAAGAGTTTCGACACAGAATGTGAAATATTGCGCAACATCCGACATAGGAATCTCACTAAGGTCATTAGCAGTTGTTCTAACCTTGATTTCAAAGCCTTGATACTTCAGTACATGCCTAATGGGAGCCTTGAAAAGTGGTTGTATTCTTACAACTACTTCTTAGATATCTCACAGAGGTTAGATGTAATGATAGATGTGGCATGTGCAATCGACTATCTTCACAGTGGGTATTCAACCTCTATTGTTCATTGTGATTTGAAGCCAAGCAATGTCCTTCTAGATGAAGATATGGTTGCACATGTGAGTGATTTTGGAGTTGGGAAGTTCTTATGCGATGGGGAGAGCACTGCTCTAACCAAGACTCTAGCTACATTTGGGTATATTGCACCAGGTGAAGTTTTTATATTCTTTTCTCACAAACAAAATTTAAATTCTAGTTTCTATTAAATTATAATTTCCTAGCCTGTATATTAATTTTTCTGATGAGTTGTATTGTTGGATCGATGTAGAATATGGAATGGAAGGATTAGTATCCACAAGGTGTGATGTTTACAGTTATGGCATTATGTTAATGGAAACATTTACAAGAAGGAAACCCACTGATGATTTATTTGCTGGAGATCTGAGCCTCAGGGGTTGGGTAAAGGAGTCATTACCTAATGCAATAATTCAGGTTATAGATTCCAACTTGCTAACGCCAGAGGATGAAGATTTCACTACAAAGGTGCAGTGTGTGTCGTCCATCATGGAATTAGCTCTGAATTGCTCTTCAGAATCACCTCAGGAAAGGTTCAATATGGGTAATGTTCTAGCAGCACTCAAGAAGATCAGACTTCGGTTCCTAGCTAATCATGTGCGCAATTCTCGCAGATCTTGAATGGAGTTGAAGCATGAAAGTAAGCATCTTACATTATTTATTGTTTAATTATGCTTTTTAGAGTTACCAATTGCATCTTTGGCTTAATTTTTTGACCAAACCACTAAAACCTGATGGATCTTCAGTAGTGGAGAGAGTAACTAGATGTGTTCAATGAGGTTTAAAGGTGTTTTCTCACCAATGTTGTTTCCTAGTGTGTGCTGTTGGTGGTAAATGTCGTGTTTAAGGTTATCAATATCCTTAACCTAAATCAAAGTTGTCATAAAAAAATATATATATAGTAATAAATAAAAAAGCAGTCATTGTATTTCTTGCTAATGGATTGATCATTTTGCCCACTGATGCAGGCTGTGGTAGCTTTCCTCCTCCATGATGCTAGAACTTCACTGTTAGAGGTTACTCGTCAATGGAGAAAGCACATTTAAAGCTAGTTTTTGGTGGATAAAACAGTATGTAAATGGTATGTTGTATCAGATTAATTAGATCGATCCATCTACAATATGTACTAGTTACAAGATGCTTGTCTGTTTATACTGTGTGTGGCTAGATTATTTTTCTTCTGTGATCGGATTAAGCAATGAATTTTCTTATGGATTTGGCAAAGATGATGATGACGATTAATCGAAGAATTTTTTGACTTCTAATGAGCAGATATAAGATGAGTTAAAAGTACTGATAGAGGAAGAATTATGACAATCAGTGTACAAAGCGAGACATGTTTCAAAACATAATTATGCATATTCACTAAGCCCAAGTAGAAAAGAGGCCCAAGTAGCAGGATTCACTAAACATAATTGTTCACTGTTTGAAGTGAACGAAAATGTTTGACCGAAATCTAGAATAGAAAAGAGGCCCAAGTAGCAGGATTCACTAAGCCCAATCATGACCTGCCAATCCATCTAAAAGAAGGGGGTGTCCACAGTGCATTTGGGTAAGTGAATGTGCATCAAGAACATTTACACCTTCAATAATTTAATGGATAAAATAAATCTCAAGAGCACCTTAATAATTTTCAAGAGACACTTTGTAATTTTAAGAAAATATTATAAATTTTTAGTAAATGATCATATAACTTATTTACTACACTAATAACATTTTGATAATACCTATTAAAATTCTCAACCTTAATAGAAATTTTAAAAACTTTTTTTTCCTTGAATTTAAAAAGTTATTGATGCATTGCCTCGTGCCTCATAAGAAGAAGGTTACTTCTAATGGGTGATGTGGATCAATTAAATAAAAGACACCTGTTTCAAATTTAAAATATCATTAAACAGAGATTAATACTGAAATCCAACCCTTTTTTAACCGGATCTCAAGTCAACCCATCTGAAAAATCCCCTCTCTCCTCTCTCTCCATGGTTAACCAAAATCCCCTCTTTTTTTCATGGTTGTGTTGTTGTTGTCGTCCTTCAACTTTCTCTCTCATCGCCCCTTCAATTGCTTGTTTAATCTTCAATCGGGTAGTTTAATATTTTACCTTTTGACTTATTTTCACCTCTCTCTCTATTTCTATATAGACGGAGTGGTGTTATTAGTGAATAGTGAGTGGTGGCGGAGGGTGGGGAGGGGCATTATGGTTTTTTTGGGATGGATGTTGAGGGAGGATTTTTTTCAGATGGGTTTTAACTTTTAATTGATTAGCCGATAAAAATGGATCTGATCTGTTTTTAAATATTAAATTTTTTAGACACGTGTCAGCTTTTCATTGGGTTCATTACCCATCAGAAGGAACTTCCTTTTTAAAATTATCATGTTCTCTTTTTAAGTTTCACGTGTAATTAGAGCCTTGAATTAGAATTGGCGATATTTGAAAAAAATTTTGTTCTTAATTGTTTTTTTCAAATTTTATCAATTCTAATTTCATACAATCGAACACAACCTCCAATAATTATAAAAAAATAATACTTTTTTTACTTTGACTTGTCAAATTAGATATCCTAAAATAAAATAGTGAATAACTAATATGAGACATAAACAAATTTCTCTACATACGAGGAGGCCAACTAATTTGGTCCATAAAAGTCAATTAATCGATATGGCCCAGTAATGCTAATATGGTTTTGGTCTACAGGTTTACTAACCTCAGTATCCTTGTTTGGCAGGTCGTGGGAATATAAGTCACTGATCTGGGCCGCCTGGTCCAATCAGGAGGGTAATGGGCCCAAGGGACTTCAGAGGTTCAATTTGTCCAAACTGTGATTTATAGTACTGTATTTGTTAATTTAGGGTTCGGCTATGAACCTACCTTTCTAGAAAGTGAGGGTGGATGTTTCACCGAGGGCCGGCCATATTTTATGAACTTATATCGTTTCTTGTAGCTTTTAGGGCATATCTCTCATTACGGTTCAAAATTTTGCAATCAAGTTTCTTTTGAGTCAAATCAATTATTGAAATTTTTCTAAATTTGTATAATTTTTTTTTTTTATTCATAGAGATTTGGATTCAGTGAAAGTATCAATGAATGCTAAAGTTTTTTTCTTTATTATGATAGTTTAAAATTTTTTAATAATATTTTTTTGTGAAAGGTTGTGCCCCTCCTCACACAATTTTTTGGCTGAAAAGAATGGACCTAACATATCTAATGAGATATGAATTGTTAAATTATGAAAATATTGGTTTAACTTTCAATTTTTAACTAATATATTCGTCCTTTAATGAAGCTTTGATAATAGTGTTCAATTGTTTTTACTTAATTTGAGAATTGTGAAGGTTGTTGGATATATCTTCATTGGAACAGAATGCATTCATTGGATTAAATATCACTTAAAATTAGCCTTACCTTTGTTTGTTTCGATATAAAATATTTTTTAAAAAATATTTTTTTTTTTACTTTATGATGTTTGGTTGTCATGAAATATTTACGAAGAAAAAAATATTAAAATCTAACAATAACAACTTACTCATCAATTTTCAACAAGTTATCTTACATGTCTCAACCTCGACATCAACCTCAACCTTTTTGAAACACCAAAAATATAAAAATAAAAAAATATTTTACCTAAAAACAAAAAAAAAAATCTTTTTCGAGAAAAATATTTTACGTCGAAACAAACGGAGCCTATATGTCATCAATTTTACTAAATTAGTCAATCCTTTTGTTCTAATAGAAAAGTAGAGATATGTCTCTCTTCTTATAATCAACATTTTCCTAACTTTTTATTGGATTGTTTATCAAGATTTCACTGAAGTTATAAGATGGAAAAGAGCTGCTCCATCAACAGGTTACACACTTAAAATAAAGTCATTCTCTTTTTTGTCCAAGAAACTTTCTGATGCTGATATAGAGAAATATGAATCAAAAATCTTTGAAGCTGGTGATTATAAATGGTATGTTAATCAAGTCAGGTAGATTATTGTGTTGCATTTAACTTAAATAATTATTTTTTGTTTTGGTTCATACATGCAATTCGTTATCTATATATCATCCTAGTGTTCTTACAAATTTATAATTTTCACACTGAAGATGCAAGGAATTCATTTCCATTTTCTCTCTCTAGAATTCTTACACTTCAACAAAATGAATCTCTCTCCCCCTTACTTCTCATATTTATAGGTATTTACAAACATTAATGGGTTGCTAGATCTGGGCCCGTTACTCTGTGGGCTTTGGTCATCTTCGATGGGCTATTCGCATTCGGCCCATATGGCAGTATTTCTTTATGGGCTGGACCCAGCTGCTCGGACCGGATGCCATGTTCGCGGGTCATATCCGGCCCATATCACTTCTGGCCTCCTCAACTGCCCCCATAATTACTCCTTATTTAATAAGGGGGTAATTATCAAAGGCGTCTCATCATGACGTTGACGGCTCAAGACACTCTTCTGGGGGAATGGACGGTCGGATCCGGAATCAATGTTCCGAGATTCGATAAACTTCTCGCCTCCCTGACGCTTCGGCCCTCGGGTCCACTTCGTCTTTATAAGGCTCTAGAATGTCACTTCATGCCTTTTTACCATCTTCATCTCTCTCCATCATCAGTCAAATCTCTCGCTTGTCTTTTTAGAACTGTGCTAAGTTTCATCCGGTGAAATTCTTCAAGAGTCACTCTTCCAGCGATGTTGCAGCGTTCTTTGCTGCTTTCTACCCCAGAGGTTAGTCTTGTTCCTTTTTACTTTCGGTAGACTTCTTTTACACTTTTGGATCCTTCATTCGCTTTCACCATGGTTGTAGATCTAGATGTTCTTCGTATGAGACTTAGACTTCCTAACAACATCCAAGTTAGGGTTTGCCCTAGGGATGTTAATATTATGACCGGTGCCGGCCTTCTTCCCGGCGAGGTTTTATTTACTAACCTTCAACTAAATGTCGTTAGGTTCCCTCTGCATCCCTTTTTTAACTATGTTTTCAATAGACTGGGGATATCCCCTCTGCAGGTAAACCCAAATTTCTTTAGAATCATATCCGTTATGTTACTACTGACTCGTGACAGAGGTCTGGATCTTGACCTCATAGATCTTCTTCTTTGCTATAAGGTCAGTAAGATCCGAACTGAAGAGCCATTCTACCACCTTTACCCGATCGACAAGATGTCCATATGTACGGATACAATCAAATCTGAAAAGGGTTGGAGGGATAACATTGTGGGTGTTAGTGGGGCCTGGTCTTCGCCGGCTGCAGAGGATTACCCAATCCCGAGTGGCTTTTGCGTCTGTTCTGTCTCCTCATATAAGAAATTCAAATCTCATAAAAACGATTGTCCCTGCGAAACATGTGTTCCTCGCTTTTGTACTTTCTTATGTCGCTCCTTAGGCATACCTTGTGATGACTTGAGCTACAGTATTTGCAGGGATAGGAGTAATTACTTGAAGAAATACGTTCTGAACGATATTCCTTCTTGCTCAGACCTCCTCACTTCAGACAACCTTCTAGTGCTCTTATCCCTCGGCTATACAATGAGCAGGCTTCAGATTCCTTCCTTTGGTAGGAGGAAAAATCCTCCCCCAGCCACTACTGTTGCTGGAGCAACCTCCTCTCCCGCATCAGCCTCTTCTTCAGCCACCATCTCTGATATTATCCCGAGTGTGGTGGCTATTGATCCTGTTGTTAGCACCCCTGCTACCAACTCGAGCACATCTCCACAGATCACTACTACCCCTGCTGCTGCTGGGGGTGTTTGGAACAAAGAACGAGGCAAAAGACCTCATCCTGACGGTGGAGTCAACCTCGAGGAGGAATCTCTTACAAGGAATACCCGAGTTTCTGGGCCGAGCGCTCTCTTGCATCGCCCAGTCAGAGCTCCTGCCCCCTCCGGGCCTGTTGCAGCTGCTGCCTCTGCTTCTGCTTCAGCTTCTGCCTCTGCTTCTACTCCTGTTTTACCACCATGGGCTCCTCGATACACCCGAACGGATGGGACGTTCGTGAAGCCGAACGAGACCATGATTAAGGATGGCCAGACCGTCATGGCGTACTATAGGAGCATGTAGACTCCAAAAGACCTTGAGGCAGCAAAGGGTCTGTCACAAAAGGACGTGTTCAGCCGTTTTCCCCAATCTGCCATGGAGGTGACTTTTATTTTCTAACTCATGAATCTTCTCATAATATTTGCTCTTGTCTTCGTCCGACCAGGCGATCGGTTTAACCAGTATTCATGCATATCTAT